ACACATCATTGGCTGCTGCAGGAGCCTTGAATACGACGGACCAATGACGCGGCTGCCTGCATTTACCTGGGAGTATAAAAGGCTGAGGAGTCTTCATCCGTGGGGGACTTGTTGATGTGTAGACTGTCCCTCCTACCTTTGCCTTTGCCTTTTCCTTTGTATTGCTGCCCTTTGCAACCTTTGTTTTTGAGTTGCCGCCTGTGAGATGTTTAGATGATTAGTGTTCCACTAGTGTTATTTGAATATATGACTTGTTTGGTGTGTTTGCTTAAATCCCCTCATTGCCTAGTGAGTTGTTTCACTAACGGTTTTCAGTTGTGGTAATAAACCTTCTGTTTTTCTTTTTATCTAACCCTCCTGCCTCTGGGCTCATTTATGTTACATCCCCTGTTGCCTAGAAAGAATGGAGAAAGAATAGTTCAAAGAAATGATTAGAAGCCCCAAACTGACATAAAATTTATCTCCATGATAAGAATATATATAAACTATAAACCATATTTTACCCTGTAAGTTATCACTGGAAGTGAACATTGTCAATATGGTCGTCTCAGGCACAAAAATGTGAGCACAGACATTTCATTGAACTTCTATCCAATCCTTCTGTTTACAAAGTGTAAAGTGTGCGTGTTAGTCCCCATAGGGAAATAGTTCCTCTGCATTTAACCCATTCACCCAGTGAAGCAGTGGGCAGCCACCAATGCAGCGCCCGGGGAGCAGTGCGTAGGGACGGTACCTTGCTCAGGGGTACCTCAGGGTAGCCGTTCAGTGGAATCGAACCCCCGACCACCTTCCGATCATGGGGCCACCACTCTACCTACTGAGCTATCCCTATCCCTGCCTGTCTTACTGAAGGTACAATTCAGTAAGACAGAAGGATGAAACCAAAAACAGGTTGTCTTAGACAATGAACCGAGAAACTGCACCAAGTCCCAGCAGCTGATAACTAAGAATATATACATTTAATAAGGCAGCTTTCCATGATTTACAACCTTACCAGCTAGTCAAAGGAGCTTGCAAAGAAAAGCATCTGGACTTCTTTAAGTTGCTTGAAGACGTTTCACCTCTCATCCGAGAAGCTTCTTCAGTTCTAAGGTCAAATGGTGGAGAGTCCCAGATATAAACCTAGTGGGAGTGACCCCCCACAGAGGGACAAAAGGACCCCCTGATGATCCTCTAATCGCCTGAGCCAAGGTGTGAAATTGGGTGTGGGACCCAATCAGCCAGAGTTTCGGGTGTGTTCATTGTGAAACCTGGCCCCACCTTATCATGCGAATTCCTGAGGTCAGATGGCCCAGGATGTGAGTGGGCGTTAAGGCGTCTGGGAAGGGATCTCAAAACTGGATTATAGATGGCAGAGAGTTGGTGTCGTAAACCCCCGCCTCTGTTCAAAGATGGTCGCTCACAGTGGACATAGATGGCTTCTTTCACTCCTCTTTCAAACCATCTGTCCTCTCTGTCCAAAATGTGAACATTGGCATCCTCGAAAGAGTGTCCTTTATCCTTAAGATGCAGATGGACTGCTGAGTCTTGTCCTGTGGAGGTGGCTCTTCTGTGTTGTGCCATGCGCTTGTGGAGTGGCTGTTTGGTCTCTCCAATGTAGAGGTCTGGGCATTCCTCGCTGCACTGTACAGCATACACCACCTTTTGTCCCTCTGTGGGGGGTCACTCCCACTAGGTTTATATCTGGGACTCTCCACCATTTGACCTTAGAACTGACGAAGCTTCTCGGATGAGAGGTGAAACGTCTTCAAGCAACTTAAAGAAGTCCAGACGCTTTTCTTTGCAAGCTCCTTTGACTACGATGACCTGGATGACTGAGAACCTTCACAGACAACCTTACCAGCTAGGAAGGTGGAAATGAACACAACAAGTATTCTTTATAAAGTATAAATAATAACACTAAAATTATATCTAAATAACACAATCACAAAAACTAAACTTCAAGGGCACTTTGAGAGTGCACACTCTGTCAAGGCCAAAGCCCTCAATCACAATTTTATCATTAAGAAAGCTCTCCAGATGCACACAGAAATTTAATGGGTTCTTCATTTGTCCATACTCCACCAAGTTTCATACAATTCAACTCAGTAGTCTCTGTGCAATGTTGCTGACAGACAGAACTAAAATTATAACTCTACAAGACCACAACAAAATAAGCAGTTCTCATCTAAAAATAGAGTACTATGTGCATTTCAGGCTTTTATCGTGAGCAATCTAGACATCTAAAATCTAAAATGATACACACAGTAAATGTGTGTATCATTAATACAATGCTGCCATAAGAGGGCTTCAGCATGCCACAGAAAGCTGGGGCAGTTGCACACTCTTCACTCTGACAATTAGAGGTTATTTGGAGATTTCGTGGGGGATCACTTCTACTGTGAACAATCCACTCGGTGATGTCACGGTGGGGTGTTGAAGCAGCTGTCACACTGTGATGTGAGACCATTACATTTGTGTTCTAGATCTCTTTAGCTGTGGCAAAGTGTCTGTATACACTCTTGCAAAAAAATTTGAGGAGTTTCTATTAAATCGGTTTTGAACCCTAAGAGGCTTTTTTTTCGCACAAATGTGTGGATGAGGACAGAGAGGGTGTCAGCACCTCTGGTGCTTTAGAGTCTTGATACTTTGTAGTGGAATTTCAGCTTTAGTGGGTTCAGCTTAACACAGGGTCCTCTGTATATACTTAGCCATTCATCCATATTTATCTCTTTCATCTGCAAATTCGAGCCTGATGTCCACTCCTCTTCACCCTGCAGTAGACTCTAATGTCAGCTGACTTCACCCTTCATCCATTCAGCTATCTATACTGACAGTTTTAGGACAGTAAGACACACTTTAAACTGCCACCACTTTAACATCAGTGCTTAATAAAGTGGAAAACATGCACTGTTGCCTGCTTATCCTAAAGTTAATTAGCAGAAAAATACCTGTCATGCGTACTATAATTACTGGCCACTCACTCTGGCAGAGGCTGCCTCTGGCACGCACTGTTGACTTTGAGATGACTGGAGGATGGAAAGGAAACAAGCTGAAGATACTTTATTGACACTAACTTTCAGTGCTCTCTTTTGTTCATTACATTTCTTTGTTTTGGGAAAAAAAAACAATAGCAGAGAGAGAAAATTCATATCATCTGTATTAACAAGGAGATTGTTATCTCCTTTGTCCTGCATCGCAATAGGATTTCCTCCCTCACACACCATCCACAAGTAATTAGGCAAAGATGTGATTACATTTCAAATTTTTCTGCAGAAATAATGCGCAACACTGATATATTAAATATAACAAAAATATAACAAAATACCAATGGACTGGCAGGGAGGTAAATGAAAAAGAAAGAGATTTAAAATGATAGATATTAATAATCAACATCAAGGAACAGACAGACTAAATACACAACATTAATGAGCTTGGAAAAAGAGCAAAGGTAACAAAAACAATTGGAGTAACTGAAAGGAAAACCAAGAATAAACAATGGAACCCAGTGGGGAGAAAACAAGAGGAAACTCACACACCTGAGGCCTGTACTACAAAGCAGGATTTGGGGCTTAGTGAGGTAACTTCAGGTTTAATCGTGAGCTTTCAGTGTTAGCAAGGTGGTTCACTTCCTTTTGGAGTACATCACCATGGCAACTTTGCTGCACCTGTCAGCCTTAAAATAGTGATATGATCCTAAAATAGTGCACTTAAGTCTTGAACATGGTGACCTTATATGCCAGTGTCATGCTTTGTTAAACCAAATACAGAGATGCAGGGAGACAGAGTTCAGAAAAGAAAGCAGAATGGAAACATAGGGAATTAAGTTTAAGTTATTGAGTAACTCACCGAAGTCATCACTAATTAAAATTAACTGGGGTCTTAGAAAAAAAAAAGAATATTGTGAAAAAAAAAAACAATTTAAAAATTATACTTTGTGTTCATTATATACTATGTGAAATTTTACAAAGCTTAATTTTGTTTTGATTTTCAAAAAACTATGGCCTACAGCTAATAAACAAAAGGTATCTTTGAATATTATAATATTTAATTTCAAATTTAAGTATCATAAGTTACTAGTCAAACTAAATATTGTGTCTCAGTACACACAACCAAAATCATGGGGAAAACTGCTGATTTGGCAGTTGTCTAGGTGATGATTATCTACACCTTTCACATGGAAGCATGCACCTGTATTGAAGTGTAATCAAAGTATAATTTGGAAGTTGACTAGAAGAATAAGATCACAGGCAAGAGAGATAATCAAAGCAAGTTCTACACCTTATACTTCCAATTTCAGTTGAATCTAACAATACCCTGCCCTAAAAAGCCTAAAAATAAATAAATCTTTTAGAATATAATAATATTTCATTTTCAGTTTATGTAACTTGCTATTCAAACATTATAAATACTAGTTCAGTTGGAGAGTTCTGACCTTGGTCATTGACACCCAAGAAGTTCAATGCTGCAAAGGCTGGCTGACTTTTCAACAGCGATGCATCGAAGCATAGTAATGGAAAGTTGACTGGAAAAGTGTCACAAGCAACAGGGATGACTGCAGCCTTAAGAGGGATGTCAAGAAAAATTAATTTAAGAACTTTGGGAAGCTTGACAAGCGGTGGACCAAGGCTGACCTTAACCCCAGAGAGAATATTTTGGGATATTTTCAAGATGAGAAACACTCAACAAAAATTGAAGATTGAAGTTGAGGATCACTAAAATAAACACACATTAATGAAGCTGGTTATTTGTATATTGCAAACGGTGTTAGATTGGTCTTAAAACCTCTCCACTTTTCAAACTAAAAGTCATAGTTGGGATGCTGGAGTGCATTACAACAATTATAGGTCAAGAGTTAAGCCTGTGATAGACTGTTGAGGATGCACACTAAGATAATATATATGTAACAGAATATTACATACCATAATATAGAATATATTACACTTTATTTAAATTGTGAAAAATACCTTTTTTCACAATGTTGTAATATTTTGAGATGTACTAAGGTCTTCTTCTTCCTCCTAGTGTTTTTCCCGCTCGGTTGCAGGGTCCGCTTTTCTGCAAAGTCGTCTCCACTTGGGTCGGTCAAGGGCGTCGGTCAGATCGGCTTCGATCTTCTTCACGTCGTCCTTGATTCGGTCCATCCATCTCCGCTTTGGTCTGCCTCTAGGTCGACGTCCTTGGGGGCTGAGCCGCAGTGCTGTTCTCACCACTGAGTTCTCATCGCTCCGTACCACATGTCCGTACCACCGCAGCCTCGCTTCTTGCATCTTATCAGTGATTGGCGCGATTCCCATCCTCTTTCTAACGTCGGTGTTCATGATGTGGTCCCATCGTGTCAGGCCTAGGCACCATCGCAGCATCCGCATTTCCATCGTGTGAAGGGCTTGTTCGTGCTTTGCGGTGGCTGGCCAGCACTCGGATCCATAGAGGGCGACGGGGCGCACTACACTCTTGTAGATCTTTGACTTGAGGCGATTGGGCATTCTTCGGTCACACAGGACGCCGGTGACTTGGCGCCATTTCATCCACGCTGCGTTGATCCTGGCTCGTACATCTAGTAGGATATCGCCGTCATTGCTGATCATCGATCCGAGGTATTTGAAATGAGGTACTTTCGCCAGATTTTCTCCATCGACGCTGATCGTGCCGTCGGTCTGGGGGCCAGCCTCTAAGTATTCGGTCTTGTTGGTGTTGAGCCTCAGGCCGAAGTCAGCTAGGCGAGTCTTCCACTGCTGCGTTTGGTATTGCAGTTCTATTCGCGATTCATCGGCCAGGAAGACATCGTCGGCGTAGAGAAGTGTCCAGGGATGGGGTGACTGGAGATCCGCCGTCGCAGTGTCCATGCAAAGGATGAAGAGCAGCGGGGAGAGTGCCGAGCCTTGGTGGACGCCCACATTGATGTTAAAGGGCGGCGATGTTCCCACTGGGCTTCTGACCACGCTGGTGACTTGTCGGTAGAGGAGCTTTGTCCAGTTGACGTAGGCTTCAGGAACTCCATGTGATCGCAGGAGGCCGTGGTCGTGTGGACAGGTCCGCTAAGTCAAGAAGCCATGTGTGTCTTGACTCTCTCGGTGCCCCAAAGCAGCCTGGTGGCGTCCGTCGTGCCACGCCCCCTGACGAAGCCACATTGGTTGGGCGTTAAGTTGACAATTTCTCGCATCCTGGCGTCGATGATCCGTTCGAAAACCTTCATGGTATGGCTTAGGAGTCGGATCGGGCGGTAGTTGGAGCATTCAGCCACATCGCCTTTCCCTTTCCAGATGGGCACCGTTATGCTGGTTGACCAGGCTGCTGGGACGGTCCCGTCTCTGATGATGCTATTGAACAGGCTGGCGAGGACTAAGGCGCCTTGGCGCCCGAGCAGCTTCCAGACTTCGGCTGGTATGTCGTCTGGTCCGGTCGCTTTGCCATTCTTCATATTTTTAACGGCTGTTTCCACTTCCTTGATGGTGATTGGCGGGACAGGTCCTGGGACGGGCGGGGCACTGTGGATTGGCTGGTGAGGGAACTCCACGTTGCAGATATCGGAGAAATACTCGCTCCAGCGATTGAGGATGGCGGGCGGGTCGCGGAGGGTTTGATGGTTGGCATCCTTGATGTGTTTGACCTGGCCAATATCCTGTGTTGCTCGATGGCGGCTGCTGGCAAGGCGGTAGATTTTGTTCGCTCCTCCGGGCGTGTCCAACTCTTCATACAGTTGGTCATAGTGCGATGCCTTTGCCGCTGCTACCGCCTTCTTTGCGGCCGATCGTAGGGCCCTGTATTGCTGGTAGTCGCCATCGCTGCGGGATTGAAGCCACACTTTGAGTGCCGACTTCTTTTCCTTGATGGTTTGCTGCACGCTATCATTCCACCACCATACTTGCTTGTCGATGAAGTGCTTCCCTGGCTTCGTCGCCCCAAGGGTGTTGCCTGCTGCGTCACGTATTTGACTGGCGATGTTCTCCCAAGCCTTGTCCACTGGCTCATTGGAGTCCACGTCGAGGTGTTCAAGGGCGTCCATAAGCTGCTGTTTGCACTCAGGGAGGCGCCACCACTTGATCTTCTCCACCGTCGTGGTTGGTGTTCTTCGTCGTGTTGGCCAAGGTTGAGTCGGAGATCCATCACAAGTAGCCGATGTTGAGGGCCAATATTGGTTGATGGTATGACTTTTACGTTCGTGACTAGGCTGAGATGGGGTCTTCGGACTAGCCAGTAGTCGATTTGGGTGTCTCTGCCGCCGCTGGAGTACGTGATGAGGTGTGCCGGCTTCTTTTTGAAGAAGGTGTTGGTCACGGCAAGATCGTGGGCCTCTGCGTAGTCCAGTACCCGGCAACCGTCGTCGTTTCTGGTCCCAAATCCTTGGCCGCCATGGAATCGGTGATATCCGTCTCTCCCCTTGCCTACATGTCCATTTAGGTCGCCGCCTACCGCCACGTGTTCCTCAGGGCTAATCGTTTGCAGGTGGTCGTCGAGGGCGCGCCAGAATTCTGTCTTCTCCTCGTCGGGGCAGTTGGTCTGTGGTGCATAGCAGGAGATAATCCGTAGGATGGTCGGGTCGGCGTCGATCTTCACTGACATGATGCGATCCGATATGCGGGTAACTTCGACCACGTTGTCCCGGAGCTTTTGACTCACCACTATGCCCACTCCATTCTGGGCCCAGTTGCCATTGTAGAAAAGCTTGAAGCCTTCTCCAATGTCCCGTGCCTTCGCTCCCTTCCACTTGGTTTCTTGAATGCACGCGATGTCGATGCGGCGGGTCTTGAGGGCGTCAACCAATTCTCGACTTCTTCCGGTCATTGTTCCGATGTTCAGGGTTCCAAGGCGGATTTGGGCTTGCTTCTTCAGCCCACTCCGTCCATGAGCAGGTAGCCTTTGTCCACTTCTCACGTCGTTCAGGCGGGGACGACGCGCGTCGCCTACGGGGGACGCCCTAGCTTTTTGAGACGTCATTGCATGGGATATGACTGTGGAATACATCGACCGGCGCGTCACTCCACCTGACGTCGAGGACCCTCACCGTTAGCCAACTTCCTGAGGGTCGTTGTTTCCAGCTGGCACCGCGAGGAGGTGGTGATGGGATTTTGCCAGCCTATGTACTAAGGTAGTACATGTAATAGTATTAATTGGTGTACTAAAGTTGTAATAATAAAGTAGACTAAGCACACTTTTTTCTAATAGTTCTTTATATTTATCCTACAGAGCTGTGAATTAAATGACTCAAACTTAACTTACTTACGCAGTCCTTTTACAGTGCTTTTTTAGTCATACTGACCAGACCATGAAGAGTACACACACACTGTCACACAGAGCTTTTTAACACTTTTCTACTTCACAGCCTTTTTTCTGTTGAACACACTCACACACTGCTACTTTGGTTTCAGCAGCTGTGTTGCTTTCAGCCTGCATTACATGTCTAAGTTCTACTTGTATTTTTAATACTACAGTTATTAATATTACAGATTGAGGTTTGTGCCTTTGTCAGCTGCTCTGTAGTCCTGTCCATGTTGGTGACTTGTCATTAGTTGGGTGTAACACTTTACTTTGTAAGGCGTTATTCTGTAACGCTTTACTGTAATCATTATATTACAACTTCCACATTACATTTTTTTTAGCAATGCATTAATGTAATGGGTAACCGTACTAGGAGTCAGTAATTACTTTACTACATTACTGCAGTAATTACATTACTGCATTGTCTTTATTACTTTTAAGAGAACTAATGAGTAATATGCAGTAATATTACATGCCACTCCCTCCACCTCTTTCATTTAAAGGCACCTATAGCTAGAAAAACCTTACCTGACTTATTGTAAATAAGCTCACAAGCAGAACCAAACCTCATACGTCTGTAAATGCCTGCTGCCCTACATACCTGTTTCTTCTCATTTCTGTGCCCCATCCTCGACCCCTTCTCTCTTACTCTGTTTGTCACGCTCTCTCATAGGTATCAAGGGGAATATGCAAAGGCCAATGCCAATACTCTGTCTCTGGCCCATTTTGCTTCATTTAGCTGTCATCTGAATTACAGTGTACAAAGGGCTGGCTGTGGATCAGGAGGTAGAACGGGTTGTTGGTTGGTGGTCTGCATCCTTGGGCAAGATGCTGAAACCACCAGAGTGTGAGTGCATGAATGTTAGATTAAAAGCTCGCAAGGATAGGCAACGATATGTGTGTGTGTGAATGGGTGAATGAAGCTTCTTGTAAGTTAAAGCTTGAGTATTTATATAGAGTAGAAATGTGTATATAAGTACCAATCTATTTAATTATTAATAGACATTGTGCAATCACATTTGAAGTTCTGGTATTTGGTACTAAATCGAGTTTTTACTCACCTTTGTTTGAGGATTTGCTTCGTTTAATTGTTGAATTTAGGTTAAGTCGAGCCAGATAAGGAACAGGAGAAGTATAATAAGCTACAAGTGAACTCGGAGACTAACCAAGATGGAAAAACTGTTAAGGCAGGACATGAAAAGAAGGGCATACGAGCAAAATAAGGCCTTATGATTACAAAAGTAAGTCATGAACTTACACAAAAGCTATAATGTTAGGGCGTTCACCTAAATAATTTATTTTGTATTACTAATAAAACCAGAATATTCTACTTCTCCTTTATTTGAGAAATGTGCCCAAGGAAAACGACCATCCAACACTGTGCAAGACTGGAATTATGACTTGATAAATATTAAAAGTAAGGATTATCATAGATTTTGTCCCCAAAATAATGATAATTTTATATATAAAATTATTATTATTATTTTAATTTAATTTAAGGGGCAAATACAGTATGTCACCATGAAATTTATGTTCAGCCCTGTAATTACAGGCGCTGACAAATCTGATCTAAGATGTTATTTATCTTATCACCTTTAATCATCAGATATATGATGTGTTTATCAGTTCAGCCCTCTAACCCGCGTGCATCCAGTCCACACGACGTCTGTGTACACACACATGCACAAAGTGAATATGCTTAATCGCCACTGTTCTCGCAAACTCATTCTTCTGGTGTGCATGGGCCTAGTTAAATAGGGTGACACTGATCTGGAATGATTAAAACAGAAGATCGCACACCTCGTCCCCCCTCCCCTATCCTTCTCTTCCTCCCGCCCAGCCTTCTCATCCTGTCTATGCGCCAGCAGTCACATATTCTTTGAAGGAGAGATTTAATTGGAACTCTTCAGAAGGTGCTGTCGGATTAACCAAGCAGAAAAACAGAGTTTGGCTGGTCATGCTTCTATCTTGGGGCCCCAGATTGCTTCCGACAGACAGTGATCCCAATAATCCTGCTGCAACATGATAAAGGGGCAGATAAATTGGATCAAAAGCATATATGCATTTTGACAGGGCTTTGAAGGCATGTGTGGCAAGATGATGACGAGATAAGTTTGTGGTAATTATATGTAGTTTTGGCATGAAATTGAAGAGAATGCGGTTTTTAGAAACTTTCATTGTACCCCAAGCCATGTGTTTGTGGTGCATGTTCATCACATGATAATACAAGAAATAAATCAGCAATCTAAAAGACTAACTCACTGCTTGATACAGTGACAATAGAGCTATTGTATAACAATAATAAGCCTTTCACACTTAAAGTTGCAGTTAAAGCAAGTTAAAGTTTTGAAAATGAAGTCAATTTATAGTTTATAGTTTTATAAACGCAAAATAACGTGAATTTATCATGCTAAGCATTTGGGGGGGAGGGGGCTCCTTCACAACATATTACCATTTTCCCTTTAAAAATCACAGGTAATGTGTTTTTTAGCTTTAATTATCCAATAAATTTTTCTATTTAAGTGGTTTCCTTTTGCTATATTGACTCATATATACGTATACATAGATATTGAATTTTTCACTAGTGTAGGATAAGCATCCATAATGACGTAACAAATTTTAGCCTGTGAACTCAGCCTGTGGTTGAGTGTGTGTGTGGAGGTGGGTGAGATCCAACTACTTAGAATATTTGCCTTCTGTCAATTTAATGATTTCTTTACACATGGATGCCTTTTGTCTCAGTATTTACAACAAATAAATAAATAAATAAATCTGGCCTACTGTGGCTTGTCCTATGAAAAAGTACAACTTTTGACAAATAAGCTACACAATGTAACATGGAAAGCATATGCAATATGCAATTTAAGATTTCTGTTAAAGTTAGTTCACCATTTAAATAAAGATTAGTTTATATAAATGCAAAGCTTGGGCAGATCAAAATGACCAGTGAAGCATAGATTGGGCATTTTAGATCAGCGGTCCCCAACCTTTTTTGCGCCACAGACCAGTTTATGCCCGACAATATTTTCATGGACCGGCCTTTAACATGTCGCGGATAAATACAACAAAATAAAACTAGTACCGGTACCGAAAAAAAGAAGATTTATTCATAACACACGTGAAAAGACCCAGGAAAACCGAGTAAACGATAAAAATGATAACAAAATAACGCTGAAAACCGATAAAAACCCTGAAAACCAGACATTTCACACCTGAGCCTCAACTCTCGCGGCCCGGTACCAAACGACTCACGGACCGGTACCGGTCCGAGGCCCGGGGGCTGGGGACCGCTGTTTTAGATGATTTTCCTTTTTGGTGTTCACTGAAAAGTTGTCTATTAAAATTTAATAACTCTCAAAATCTAAACAAATACATAAAAAGAAACACTGAGCAACCAAGCTTCCTGTTACTTAAGTAAATGTATTTCTCTTGACTTTCTATCATTTTTCTATTTCCATCAACTTTGTTTCAGACTCCTCTTTATGTATATCTCTTAAAGATGGCCTGTTGCCATGGGGACAGTGGGGAGATATTGTATGCCCAGCAGAAAACTGTGACCAATCTTGGAATCACTATCCACATATGAGCTCCGGTTTGGCAGTTTCCTGTTGAAACAATGCCACTCCACTAACAGCCTGTTTGTAATTTTAGTTTTTTGGATTAACAACAGCCTTTTTTTTCCCCTCAAAGTCAGTTGACTAAATTATGTAGATTAGTGAAATTGTCATGGTCCGTGGTCCTGTGTGTGTGTGTGGAATGTGTGATGCTCGGGTAGCCACACCCCCAGGCTGGGCCATCACCGGCACACCTGCTCTCCATTGGGGTGATTACCTAAAGAGCTACTTAACCCGGCGCTGACGGATGCTCCACGCCAGTCTGTTAATCACCTCTCTGTGGTTTCGATCCGGCGTTCAGCGTCTGCCACCTGCCTGTCCTCCTGCTCAATTGGATCACCCAGTGCATCATCTGGCCCATTCACTATCTCCACGGATTCCCTTCTCACAGACTTCCCTCCCGAGCTCCCACGGTCCCGCTCTAATCGTAAGCCAACTAGTCTAACTCAGTCTTGATGTGTTCCCCCCGCTTCCTGGATCCCTAGTAATCTTCTCCCCTTTCTGTTGCAGCCTCCTTCTTCAACGAGTCCCTGGCGAAGTCTGTGGTCCCCACATGCTTCAAAAGATCCACCATCATCCCTGTGCCCAAGAACAGCAAACCCTCATCCCTGAACGATTACCGGCCAGTTGCACTGACCTCGGTAGTAATGAAGGTGTTTGAGAGGCTGCTGAAGAACATCATCTCCTCCTCCATCCCAGACACCACAGATCCGCTGCAGTTCGCCTACAGATCCAACAGATCCACAGAGGATGCCATCGCCCACGTCCTACACACCACTCTCAGCCACGTGGACAAGAAACAGGGTAACTATGTGCGAATGCTGTTTGTTGATTACAGTTCAGCGTTTAACACAATAGTGCCCTGCAGACTGTTCACAAAGCTGAGGGATCTGGGACTTAACAGCCGTCTGTGTGCATGGGTGTTGGACTTCCTCACTGGCAGAACTCAGGTGGTGAGGGTGGGCAGGTGCTTCTCCAACAGCATCACCATCAACACAGGAGCACCTCAGGGATGTGTCCTCTCGCCACTGCTCTACTCCCTCTACACTTCAGACTGTGTGGCCACCCATGGCTCCAACACC